AGTAAAGCACAGTCTTTTTAGTTTAAACAAACAAAACCCAGAAATCTACATTTGAAAAGCATCCTGAAAACTCTTAAAACTATGTTAATACTAGAATGAGTAAAACATTAAATGACTTTTTGGCAGTATAATCAATTATAAATATATGCTATAATTCACTGTCTCTATGAGCAAACCAAGTAAGAAAAAAATAAGACCCAAGACTTTGGACAGAAGAAATGGGAAGCTAAATGTAAAATTTCTGACTAGTTCACTGGAGCTGGTAACAAAGCAATTAAGATTTCAGTATACCCTTAATACTGGGCCCATCTGGAAGAGTTCCAAGTAATAATGGTTTTATTAAAAATGGTTCCTTAGTAAACTATAGGTGCAAAGTAATTTGTAAAGACTAGAGAGATTCATCATTTTTAGTATTTAACAAATGAATACAAAAATTGAACTAGAATTTCTCAGAGATTAAAGTAGTTCATGCCTAAAGTAGTTCATTCCTAAAATTTTTGATAGTACACACACACACACACACACACACACACACACACACACACACACAGAAGAACCAATATACTGTTCCTCAGAGGAAATAAGTCTAAACTCCGATCCAATTATGACAATAAATGCATAATGCATAGGTCTTGTGATACCATAAATTTAAAATCCAGATGTGACATTTTTAGCAACTTTTAAACGAAGAGGTCAAGTTAGATGTCTTTCTCAAATACCCACCATATTATTGTAAAAAAATGGAAAGAATGGGAAACACTGTATTGACTTCTGGGAATTCTGAAATTCTGCTGTGCACAAATTGCATGAGCTGCTGCTTGCCCAAGGAGCAGGGAACATTTTTTAACTAGGTCTTACAGAAACTTTCAGTTGTTTAGTTTCCTGAAAGTATGGCTTTACCCTTGTCTTGATCTTCCTTGTATCTACAAATAAGACATTATAGAATATGAGAATAAATTAAGGCTCGTGCACATGTGTACACAGACACACAAACACACATGTACATACATTTCTGCCACCTTGGCTACTGAGCAGTTTTCTTAGGCTATTTCCTATGCAAAAAGGTCATAGGCACACATTCATATTTCTTTATATTCAAACTGACTGGTTCTTTAGGTAATATATAGCTATCTAAAAAGGCTAGTTGACTTTTTTTTGGTAGGAGGAAGCTGTACCAGATGTGACTTCAGCCATATCCCCATCTTTAAAAATTTTTTTAAAAATTCTCCCCACCCCCTTTTTTCTACACTAGTTTTCAGACAGGTTTCACACTGTGCCCTGTGGCCAGCCTTGGACCATGATTCTCCTCTCCAAATTCAAAATAGCTGGGTCTAGGTGACTTTACTTATTTGCTTGCAGTCATGTTATGAATCCAATGGTTATATCAACAAATATTTTTTGAGATTTTCAGATTTAGCTTCAAGTTCTAGGAGGTACAAAAAGTTTACTTTCTTCTTTTCCTTTCTGAGCCATTTCATTCAAATGATAGGATATATTGGGTACTAACAAAATTTTAATCCTGATGTTGTTTGTGATAGATGGCTAAAACACAGTGGGTTTCTGTACATTCAAATAAAATTTTAATTATATATTTGCCAGTTGAAATTAGAAAAGGTTGCATATTTTATCCATCAAGTCTGAATATGCCTAGATCAGTTCCTTTATATCCTGCAAATTCTTTTCTCAGATTATTTAGTTTGATTGAAACACCCAATCAGATTGTAATGTCAAATCAAGTGAGATCAATAGTAATAAAATAAATAATGTTGGCAATATTTATCAAATTTCTGCTGGAGGCTACATACTCATTTGTTACATTATCTGCTTTCTAGTTACTTCAGGTATAATACCATCAAAAGTTGTCTTATGAAAAATACTTCTGACAAGCTCTAAAGTCTATATCATGTATCTTAGGTATCTTTTGTATGCATGTTTATAAAAATATCATTAATTTCCTATTGATTTCTGTACAAGTCAGCTTTCTCATAAATAATAAACAACTTATAAACTTCAGTGGCTTATAAAACAGGTATAATCCTTAAATTGTTGTTTGCGAGGAATCAGGTATTCTGTTTCATGACATTTTAATTATTGAACTTAATTAGAAAAGTAAAACTCCTTTTTGAGACATTCTATAAGGTAGAAGACAGACACAGTGATGGAAGAACCACAGAATGCCTTAAAACATCTTCTGAAAAGTAACAAAAAAAAGCCCCTCTTATTTCCATTTCACTAAAATAAGCAAGTCATATAGCCAAATCTGACACACACACACACACACACACACACACACACACACACGCGCGACTAGATAACTGAGAAGAGTAAAATCTACTAAGACAATTTATCAACACAGACTGACTACAGCAACTGCTGGCATGTTCATGTTCAGGAATGTCGGTGCCATCAAATCTACTCTGCCACCAAAATTAACTTCCTTAATTCTTCTCTATGAGGTTTGATATGAGAATAACTACGCGGTTAATTGTGTTCATATGAAAGATGTGAGAAGATATCACTGAGCTATCACCTTGTTGTTGACACTCTGGCCACAAAATTTTCTGAGAAATCTACTAATATTATTGAAGATTCCATGCATGTGACAATTTTCTATTGTTACATTTAATTTGGGGTTCGTTCTATGTCTTGGATATTTATACTCATGTTTTTTTAATCAATTTAAACAAAATTAAACATTGATTCTTCTAATATTCTTTTCACCTTTCTTGTCCTTCTGAGATTTCTACAATGCAAATATAGTCTACTTAGCGTGCCTCATAGGTCCTTTACCCCTGTTCAGTTTTCTCCAAGTGAATGACTTTAATTCTTGAAATTCAATTGTTTCCATTTTCCTCTCTTCAAACTTATTGATTCTTTTTCCTATTCAAATCTGTCATTGAATCCTTCTAATAAATTTTTCATTTCATCTATTGTATTCTTCAGCTTTAGAATTTATTTTCTGTTTCCTTTCTTTCCTCTCTATTGGTAGTTCCTTATTTTTTCAGATATTATTTCCTTAAATTTCTCCATATTTTCCTTTAGGATTTTAAGTCCCTTTAAGAATCGAGACTACTTATATAATGGCACAGGAGAAAAAAATCTGTGATAATATCTCTGCAGTGGTATGAAGGAATAAAAACAGCAAATTAGGATGGACATGTAACTTCATGGTATGATGTAGTCCTCAGAAACTATCTAATATTCCAAATAGAAATTTATTCCTATGTACACATAAGTCATACATATTATTTTTCTTCCATGTTCTAGTTTTGGTGGCACAAGTCAAAGTCTCCAACACTCAAGTTGTAGTTAGCTAGAGAATAGATGACCTAGCTTCTACATTAATCCACAAGAGATTTCTTCTAAGACTCCCAATGGATGTTGACACTGCAAACAATATCAAGTCCTATAAAATCCTACCTTTGTATCTATGTGGGATTAGTTTCAGGATCTGTTATAAATAACTAAAGTAATAGATACACAAATCTCTTTTACAAAATTACTTAATATTTACATATAGTATATTCCTCTCCTGCCACACACTTTCAATCAACTCTTGCTTATAATGCACGATACAAATAAATGCTATGTAAATAGCTCTTATACTGTATTGCTTAAGATATAACAATGTTCTGTAGAACAATAGTGATGGTTCTTTCTGAATATTTTATCCCACTTAACTACCATCAAATTCGTATTTCCAAATTAGGTATCTTCCATTTAAGAACCTGAATATTACATTCCTTTTCCTAATTTACTAGTTCATGTTTAACATATATACCAGACCTATTAATTAATTTGTTTTTTTTTTTACTTCTATTTCTATTTTTGTTTCATGAGAGTACCTGGGCTTGAACTCAGAGCCTGAAACTCTCATTTGGCTTTCATGTTCATATTTGAGGCCTTACAACTTGAGACATACCTCCAGTCTAGTATTTTGCTGGATAATTGGAGGCAGAGTTTTACAGACTTTTCTGCTTAGACTGGCTTCTACATGCAATCCTCCAGATCTTATTTTTCTAAGCAGCTAGGATTATAAGCATGAGCTTCAGTCACCTGGCTGTCACTAGACTTTATTTTGACACATATGAATTCCTTTTTGTGATTCATCTTTTTTGTAAGATTTTAGAAAAAGTTCATAAATGTTCCAAATTCTTAATTTTTAATTTTTCAATATCTAGTAAGCATTTCAGTGTCACTAGGAATGTTAAAAAATTACTGTGGGGTTTAAATTTTTTTTAACTTATAAGGTAATACATTCAGAGGAGAAAAAAACACTTCAAAGGTAAACTTTTTCTTAGACTACTTATGCTTACTTTCTTTTTACCTTTTTTTCTTTTTCTTTTCTTTTTTTATTATTGTGAAAATACCGTACGGAGGGGTTACAATAACATGAGCAAGGTAATGAGTACATTTCTTATCAAGCATTGTTGCCTCTTCCTTTGTTTCCCCTACCATCCCTTCCCATCTCCCCCGCCCCCACATTCTCCCCCTCCCTCGGCCAAATCGGTAAAGTTTGTTTTTACTTCCAGCAGGAGGATACTTGCCCAGAGCTCTGGGGAGCAGCAGCAGAGCTAGGGATCTGCGAGCCCTGTGTCCTGCCAACCATGGAGCAAGTGGGCTGAAACCCCAGCCTGGGGCTCCACCCACCATTCCCAGTGATGGCAGTGAAGAGGGCTCTGCTGGCCCAGGCTGCTGCACGTTGAAAGTCGCCGTCCAGCTGCACCAACTCGGGCACTGTCCCCGCCGGCCCTGGAGCTGGGGTGCCGCAGCCCCCACCGATGGGGAGGTGGGCCCTGGACCTGTCCTTCGTGTGGAAGGCCGTGTTGACCCTGGGGCTGGTCCTGCTCTACTACTGCTTCTCCATCGGCATCACCTTCTACAACAAATGGCTGACAAAGGGCGCTGGTCCAGCCGCAGGGCCCGCGTGGTGCCGAGCTGGACTCACCACCTCAGGAGAGTGGCCCCCACCGCACTGGCAATGGCACTTGATGTGGGCTTGTCCAACTGGAACATCCTCTACATCACCGTGTCACTGTACACAATGACCAAATCCTCTGCCGTGCTGTTCATCTTGATCTTTCTTTGATCTTCAAGCTGGAGGAGCTGCGTGCAGCCCTGGTCCTGGTGGTCCTCCTCATCGCCGGGGGGCTCTTCATGTTCACCTACAAGTCCATTCAGGTCAATGTGGAGGGCTTCGCTCTGGTGCTGGGGGCCTCGTTCATCTGGGGGCATCCGCTGGACCCTCACCCAGATACTTCTGCAGAAGGCTGAGCTGGGCCTCCAGAACCCCATCGTCACCATGTTCCACCTGCAGCCTCTCATGTTTCTGGGGCTCTTCCCTCTCTTTGCCATATTTGAAGGTCTCCATTTGTCCACATCTGAGAAAATCTTCTGTTTTCAGGACACAGGGCTGCTCCTGAGTGTGCTCGGGAGCCTCTTCCTTGGCGGGATTCTTGCCTTTGGTTTGGGCTTCTCTGAGTTCCTCCTAGTCTCCAGAACCTCCAGCCTCACTCTGTCCATCGCTGGCATCTTTAAGGAAGTCTGCACTCTGTTGCTGGCGGCTCACCTACTGGGCGATCAAGTCAGGCGCTTAACCTCTGCCTCTCCAGAATATCCCTACATGTGGCCTTGAAAGCCCTGCCTTCCAGAAGCCTCAGCTTTCCCATGTCAGCCCCCTTCCCTGACACTGAGCGCCTCCGGTCGCCCTTCCACCCTGCTGGTCTCCACCCCGCTGCGCAGCCGGCCCCCTTCCCCTGGCTGCCCGCCTGCCACCAGCTCTGGGGGGACACGGGTCCCCTGGAGAGGACATGCACCCTGGCTGCACGGGTCACTGGTCTGTCTATCCCAAGGGGACGGTGGCCCTGAGCCCCCGAAGGGCCTGGTGTCCAGCTTGGACTTGGAGCTGCTGCTGCGGAGCAGCCAGCAGGACGAGGACACGGAGGAGGGAGAATACTTTGTGGCCCAGGCGAGGACCCGAGCCCCTGCTGCCGCAGCCTTCGAGACGCCGACACCCAGCAGCGCAGAGCTGGCAGAGAGGTCGCCCTGCCTGGAGCCCGGGCCTGGGAGTCGCAGGGCAGGACCCTGCAATGGGCCGGGGTTCCTGGCCTTGCCCTTCCCTCTGAAGCTAGAGCCTGCCCATGCTGTGCGGGGAGCCATGTTGGACCATGGCAGTGAAGGGCGGGGTTGAGCTCTGCTGGCCTAGCTGAGAGCCAGCAGGGCCTCCAGGGGGCCTCCTGGGGCTGGGGGTGGGGCCTGACTGGGCTTCCTAGCAGTTGGGAAGTGGACCTCATCACCTGGACTGTGTTCATAGAGAGCAGATCTATAAAAAAAAAAAAGGTTCTTTTTACCTTTTTTTTCTTTTCTTTCTTTCTTTTTCTTTTTCTTTTTTTTTTTGTCAGTCATAGGGTTTGAACTCTGGGCCTTGGTGCTGGCCCGGAACTTTTCAGCTCACGGCAAGAGTTCTACCACTTGAGCCACAGCACCATTTCCAGTCTTTTGGTGGTTAATTGCACATAAGAGTCTCACAGACTTTGCTGCCCTGGCTGGCTTTGAATCCTGATCCTCAGATCTCAGCCTCCTGAGAAGCTAGGATTACATGAGTGAGCCACTGGTGCCAGGCTTCTTTTTACCTTGAAGTCTGAATTTTTACTGTTTTTCTTGCTATTTAGTATTTTTTTCAATCCTTAGATGGAGGTCTTGGGGTTAGGCCTATTTTACCTCTGACATGAACAGTATTTCCACCAATAATTTTTTGTTTTACTTCTTTTTCTCATTGCATTATGTGTGATTTTTTTTTTTTAGCATTTTTGACCTCATGTATCTTATTTATTTGGAGGCAGTAATTATATACTGATCTAAAGATCAATTTGATTATATCTGTTATTCACTATGATTAGGATAGTTTGGACTTTTGTGCTTATCAAGTCCTTCCTTCAAGCAGGTGGAAGACAAATAATTAGATGTAAGACCAACTCATAGCTTCAGGTGCTCTGGAAAGGGGAAACAGAGTAACACACTTATGGTCTTCAAATATTTTTCTATCAAGTACAATGATTCTTTTGTCTTGAGACCATGAAGTCTCTGGAGTACAGTTTCCTTAGATTTTAGCCATTACCATTACAGAAACAGCAGCACAAACACAAGGATTTTTCCAGAGTATTAAATCAGAATTAAAAAAAAATAAAGAAGGTATAGCATGACCTTATTTTAGATCATCTCCCTATCATTGTATATCCTAAATATTGAAGATTTGATGGCGATTTAAATTTGTTACTTATACCTTTAGAGCTATTTCCAAGTTAAGGGTAATTAATTTTGTCTTTCTGAGTTTGCAGTTTGTCCTCTCAAGCTACAAGAGAAGCACAACAGAAAGGTTCAGTGGCACATATCTGTAATCCTAATGACAAAGAGAAGCATACTAGAGCGATCACAGCCCAGGCTAGTCCAGGCATAATATGTGACCCTACCTCAGAAATAATCAGCACAAAAGGGGGCTGGCAAAGAAGCTCAAGAAGTAGAGCATCTACTCAGCAACTACAAGGCCCTAAGTTCAAATCCTGGTACTATTTAAAATAAACATCCATCAATATTCTTCAAAACAGCCGTAGATAATATTTTCTTTAAAAACCCTTCTCTAAATATCCTACAAATCTCATGCTGTGAGTGTGGCTTAGTGGTAGAGTACTTGGCTAGCATGCATGATGCCCTAGGTTTGATTCCTCAGTACTACATAAAGAGAAAAAGCCAGAAGTAATTCTCTGGCTTAAATGGTAGGGTGCTAGCCTTGAGCAAAAGAAGCTCAGGGACAGTACTCAGGCCCTGTGTTAAAGCCCCAGGACTGGCAAAAAATAAAATAAATAAGAAACATCCCAGAAATCTCTTCTCTTTGGGGGTTATCTATTATACTTTATCTGTATCTCTGTGTCAACACTGACTATATCTGAATTATTAATACTAGAGGGATGTTCTTTTCAGAATTTATCTGAATGACTGCTGAACCTAATATCCAGGGGAATAACAAAATGCTGAAACAAGGACACAGGATGACCCATTGCAATAAGGATACCCACAGGACAGTATATTAGAAACAAACTTTACAACTTCGGGTAGGGGTGGGGAAGGGAGGAGGAATGTTGGAGGTGGGGGAGGGAAAGCATAGTGGGACAACAACAAGGGAAGGGGTAACAATGATCAACAAGTAAAGTGCTCATTGCCTTACTCATGTAACTGTAACCCTTCTGTAAGCAGCTTTACAATAAAATAAAAATAAAATAATCTATAAAAATTATATAACTTGCAGTAAATAATAATAAAAAACAATAATAAAAAAGAAGTGAAATATTCTGAAGTTACCATTCCAATATCACACTGAGAGTCTACTAGCAAGAGTTAACATGAGTAAAACCCTAGTTTTAGAAACTGTATAGAATGTAGGGTTTTTTTTTGCTCTTTATCTAAATTTTTAGAAATAAATAAAAAATTATTTCCACAGAAATTATCAACAAATACCAGGATTAAACTGGCATCAGCATTTTAAAGGAGGGGTACATTTTCATGGTACTTTTTTTTTGGGTCCGGTCATGGGGCCTGAACTCTGGGCCTGGGTGCTGTCCCTCAGCTCTTCAGTTTAAGGCTAACGCTCTACCACTTGATCCACAGTGCCACTTCCGGCTTTTTTCTTTATGTGGTGCTGAGGAATTGAACCCAGGGCCTCAGGCATGCAAGGCAAGCGCTCTGCCACTGAGCCACCTTCCCAGCCCCTCATGGTATTTGTTTTTTTAAGCTTGGAATTCTCTTAAGTTGGGAGTTATATTCTTTCCATTGGAAAAAGAGAATGTCTATATAAAAAGTAGCAGCCATACCACACCAAAAACCTAAGTAATCCAGATTTTTTTAACCCCAACATATTACTTCAAAAAATGTTCAATTATAGTAGATTATAGGGATGATAATACTGTTACAAAAAGACTCTTAACTTAGAACCCAAAATGAACCGAATTTGGCACTTCCCTAAAATCCACTTTCTTAAGTAATTTAATAGACTATATTTTTTAAACATTAATTAATGTGCTAAAACTTACCATTTTATTTTATTTTATTTTGGGGTCCGGTCATGGGGCCTGAACTCTGGGCCTGGGTGCTGTCCCTCAGCTCTTCAGCTCAAGGCTAGCGCTCTACCACTTGAGCCACAGCGCCACTTCCGGCTTTTTGCTTATGTGGTGCTGAGGAATCGAACCCAGGGCCTCATGCATGCAAGGCAAGTGCTCTACCACTGAGCCACCTTCCCAGCCCCTAAAACTTACCATTTTAAAGTACACAAACCATTTTAGTGTGTTCATATGATGGTGAAGAAATCAACACTATTAATTTCAGAACCTTTTCAACACCTAACAAAGAAGCTATGGCAAATTAAGTCACTCTTTCAATGTCTAGTCCTCCACAAGCATCAGCAAACACTGATTGAGGTGGTGTTTTTTTACAATATAGATTTCTCAGTTGTAGACATTATATGGAAATTGATTCATATGTGTCTGGATTTTTTCACTTACCAAAATATTTTTAACATTTATTCATATTTCAGCATTTTAATACTTCAACTTCTTTATAGCCAAATAATATCTAATTATGGAGATTTGGCATTGTTTATATATCTATTCATCACATGGCAGACATTTGTGTTATTTCTACTATGGACTACTACAAATGTGTTTTCAATTCTCTTATATTTTACCCAGAAGAGCAATTGCTAGGTTATATGTCAATGTCATAACAATTTAAGAAACAGCCAGATTGTTTTCAAACTTGACTATAGTATTTTATATTCTCAAGGGTTTTAATGTCTCCACATACAAACCAATTTCTGTTATTATCATTTGGAGTATAACCATCTTCATCAGTATAAAATAATATTTCATGGTTTTGATTTGCATTTTCCCAACACCTTTTATTATATATCTTCTCTAGAGAAATAATTGTTCAGATCTTTTTGCCCATTCTTACTATTGAGTTGAAATAGTTCTTTATATATTTTGGATATTATTTCTATATCAGTTACTTGACCTGCAAATATGTTCTCCAATAGATCCTTATTTTCTGTATGAATTAAGCCCATAGCAAATAAGAAAAACTTATTTTAAAAGAAGCAGTTTTTAAGGGGGGACCAAGATGGCAATGGGACAGTAGGGAAACACCACAGTTCTCTCCAACCAAAAAGAGAGTTCAAGTTCCAATGTTTAATTTCCCCAAGAGATTGACAACAACAAAAAGACGAACACCCAGAGAAAAACAGGAGGCAGAAAAAAAAGAAGAAAGAAAAGGAAGAATTTCAGAACAGAGAAGCATGAAGACACCCCTCCCCCAACCTTTACTGACTGTGCAGCAACACATCAAGCTGCAGCCAGCCCGGCCCAACGGGGGCTTGTTGGAGTCACTGATCACCCGCACAGAAGACCTCTGAGGCACCAGTGTAGGACCTGCTGATCGTGACACACAGAGAAACCTCAGAGCCACAAGCTGAACGAAGACCCCCCTCATCCACCCCCACTCTCTGAGCAGAGGGGCTCCATCCCGCCAAAGCCACTCAGCCCCATGGCTGGAACCCCAGAAGTACACTGGTCTCCCACAGAATGCCAGTACAGAAGACCTGCAAGTTACTGGTGTTGATCCAGAAAGCGCAAACTGAAACAAACCTCAGTGCTCAGAACCTGCACAGAGACCACTTCCCCACCCCTCGGTCAGAGGCCAGCCTGCAGATCACCCATGGCACTGCCCATCCCCCTGCGCCAACCTGAATAGCATCAACAGAGGCAGAGACAGAGGAGAAACACTGATGCAGAGCCACCACCACCCTGCCCAGCCCATCACGCAACCCAGCCAACCCAGCCCGCAGCGCTCAGCCTGCCCACATTGCCTGCGTGGAGCTGTGCCACTTGCCCGCACCACCAGCCCACATCACATCACACAGCCAGTGGCACCAACTGGGACATTATCAACAGAGGCAGAGACAGAGGAGAAACACTGACAAAGAGCCACCTGGCCCAGCCCACAAGCATATCAACTGAACACTGACTGCAGCGGCAACCAGCAACCAGCAACCTACATCACACAGAAACAACAACTAGCTCCAGGGTAAGTACCCTGCAGGGAACAGCATATCCCTCCTCAAGGGAGACCAGAGCTGGGGGGAAC